TCTGGCTCACAAATAGTGATGTCCCAATTCTGCTTTTAATATATGAAATATTTGAATATTTCATATTCTACTAGTATTTTACTAACTGCAAGTCAATTTACTGTACAGAATCATCAATATCAATGTTTGGGGTTCCTTTGTGTTAGCTTTTTGCATCATGGAGATGACCTGTCTGTGGCTCTAATGAGCTGTTTAAAAAGCCAGGTTGGTTTAATAGTGACATTAAGTAACATGTATGCACTCTCTCAACTCTTCCTTTGCTTTCTGGAACACTAATTACCAAATTACAAGCAAATTTTGGTTTAATCAGAAAGACAAATCAACAGTCCTGTCTTTCCCCCCCCATAGCCCAGGTAGGGCATCTATGACTTTGTTGTTGGTTCAAGAGTAGTTTATCTCCAGAAATGCAAAAGTTGTCCAGTTATGCACATTTTTTCTTTTACTTAACTTTCTATTTTTATGCGTGGACATATCACTTTATGAAAAGCATTGACCTTTTATGAAGTATCCACCTGGTGTAGAGGGGAGTCAGTGATAATCTGCTGGGAAATCATTGACTATGTAGGTAATAAGTATAAGATTTCTGTCAAAAATCATTCTTATTGTTCAGCAATATTCAAATATATCGCTTTAGAGGTGAATTATAAAATAAGTTTCACTTTTTCCAGTTTAATGGCTAAAATAAATTAGCTATTGAATTATACTCTGAACACACTGGGAAATCTGCACGCCGTTAGTTAAATAACAGACAGCAGCTCAATAGTAAGATAGATACATGTACCTGTTTATTGGATGTGAGGAACATTAGTACCGAAAAGGCACAGAGCAGATCCATTATTACAAATTATTTCTTTTAACAGTAGGGTGACAAAAAACAAAAACAAAAACAAGAAAACTCTTCTTTTCCTGCAGGAAGATCCTTTCACAGAAAGGATTATGGGACACACAGACTCTTACAAAGTGTAAGTAGGACCATTTACTAAAGCTGGAGAAGCAAATCACAACGACATGACGAAACCTCTCAATGGCAGGGTTATGCCTGCATGGCTGTGTACCTAAACATTTGAGTTCAATAAAAAAAAAAATTCTTGCTGCTGCTGATCAAAAAAAATGACTTTGACACCTTCGATTAATGAACAGCCGTTGTAAAACCACAGGAAGAAAAAGAGAAATTCCTTTAAATTTCATAGCAACATCAATTTAAAGAAAGTGTTTTATTCTAGAGGTTGTAATACTTAAAACAGACCTGGTAAAGCTGCAGAGAAGCGCGACTATCCACCTTATTCCTAGCCCTGACAAGTTTGCGTTAATTATGGGCGCGACTTCCGCCGCAAACCGGAACCGCCATTTGTTTACATGTTAGCAACTCGCTAACCGGCTTTCGTCAGAGGTTTAAAGCTGTAAAATATGTAGGAACACCAGCTGTCACAGCTTAAACTTGACGATATTGTTGTTGCCGCTACCTGCAGCTAATGAGGAGTGGGATGGTGACTTGAAGAAGTGGCCGCAAATAAGCACTTAGCATATGTAGCTACTTCGCTGACTCATTGCTCCGGATGCAGATGCGGGTTTTATTCCGTTTGCTTTTAGTCCACAAAATGAAACGAGCACAGACAAAGCATTTTGGGTTCTTTATTCAAGTTTATATGTATTTTTAAGCCACATTATTTTTGTTTCCTCATCTGTCGGTAGGTATAGACCGTTGCTTTTGTTTTTGGAGCACGTTCAAAAGTAGCCACAAATTAAATTTGGTCTGATTATTAGAGTACAGTCACGACCAGCGCAACGGCTACCGGAACTCCACGGGGGCATCTAAAGGCGGTTTTCCACTGGAAAGACTCCAACTGGTTCATGTGTGGTCCGGTTCCAGCCCTGTGAGGAACTTCTCCATATTACGGTCTGGAGCGCAAAGCGGCAGTGGTGACCTCCACGCTTGTGTTCGTGGTTAAAGTCATAATTACGCTGCTCTGTACTGAGCAGCTGTCTGATAGCAGACGCCATGTCCTTAATCAATTTTTACTTAATATGGTACAATAACCAAAAAGAGAGATGTAACGTTTACTAGGAATAAAGATTAGCAAAAAAAACCCCTACAAATTACAGTGAACCACTGCCACTTCCGGTGGGCGCCGGAAGTAAGACCCATAAACTTTCCACAGCACCTTCTCCCAGGAATATGGTGGATACTATATTACTAATTAAGTTTGGCAAATGTGAGGACTTATTGCTGACACTTAAGGCAACCATGTGGATCTTAAACATCAGCCAACCAAAACAGAATCTTAACAATAATAAAGTTGTGATATATGTGTAAGTTATTATTTAAGAAATAAGTTCATGACACACACCAGAAGTTTTAGAGCACTTCAGACTGAGCTAAATGTGTTTGTTAGCATATCTTAGCATACAGGCTAAAAATAACCAGAACATCCAACCTGACAAAATGAGCACATTTACTAAGTTGTATTTAGAAAATAAAAGGTTTTGGAGTTAAGACAAGTGAACCGATGAAACCATTAAAGATAAAACATGAGTGAAGCCTTATGAACGCACTTGGTCCTGTCAGTTCCTGAGCACATTTTTATGCTAACGTGGGATTAGTGGGCAGAGCCTGTGACAGCTTCAGCTCCTCTCTGGAAAACTTTAAATAACTCTTCTAATGTTGCCAAAAGTTTTTGTTGACGACGTCAGTGTAAAAAACAGGAAACAGGCTCGTGACCCAAAATTGCAAGTTTTGAAAACAGCCACAGGGAGCAGCAAAGAGCTGACAGGAAGACGTTAGTGGCTGGCTAAGTGTTTCCTGCTGTCAGTGCTAGGGTTCAAAGGTTAGCATGGTCCAGGCATGGGTCTGGTGGAAGTTTTAAAAAGGAACAGTTCCAAAGCTACAAATGTTTCTATTGCATTGTTACAATGGTTTTATTGCAATGCCAGGTAGAATTGGCTGTTTGAAGCACACAATTAACAGAATGCTGCCCCTTCCCCACCTATTGCTGTGCATTGTTGGTCAACTGGCTTAATGAAAGCTGCAACATGTGTCCCTTACTTCCAAGAAAGTTAAAATTAACAGCTGGAAATAAATATCCAAACCACAATCTTCAGCTTATAACACTGTTATAAAACTACGGCAGACAAAAAAACGACCAATATTTTGTCCAACGTAAAGTTTCAGTGAGCGTTGTTCTGTATATTTCCTTAAGGAACAGTTCGAATTTTTTTTAAAGTGAAGTTCTGTCTAAGGGTTAGAAGTGGTTTAAATCTTTTCTACAGAACAGGAAGTGAGAATCCTCCCTTTCCTGTTTGATAAGCCACCAATTTAGCATCCAATAGGGCCGTCACATATATAGACCATACTGAAAGTTATAAATTGAAAACCAGTCTCATGTAATATATTATATTAACAGTGGCATTCAGTGTTGTGAAACCACAATTTGTGAGCATATTAAATTAAAAAAAGAGAGAAATTCATAGTTATCGGTGTGTGTTGTTAAGAAAAGTTAGCACTAAAAAACCCACAAATCTCGCTGTTTTGGAACTTGTGACGAAAACTAACTAAACTTCGATGTGAAGTCCCTCTCCACTCTGACTTCTGAAACTAATGGATCTCAGGGTTGTGATAAATCCAGATCTGTTGGTCCAGGAGGCTGAAGCTAATGGCTAGTTCAAGGTGCTAAGCTAAAGCTAGCTTCTATTGGCTTGAAGTAACTCCAGTACAAAAAAGACCAACAGTGATTATGAAGATTGGAACCATTCTCAGGTTGTAGTGGCTGCTTGTTAACAAAAGAAGCTGATTATTATTTACACAGGAAACACAGGAGGCTGGGAAGCAGTGCGTCAATAATAATCTTCCTCTGTGAAACATGTACAAAGAGCAGAACATAAAGTGCTCATGGTCTGAGTGATAAAAAGTAAAGTGGTTTAAATATTAATAAAATAATGTCACTTAGTTACTCTGACCGGAAGTTGCTTTACATGTTTCACTGTCCGTTTACGTTTCACACAGGAATATTACTGGTGACGCACCGTCTCCAACCTCAACTTCCTGAGTAAATGACCAACTGATATAAACATGGCAGCGACTTAAAGGCTCGTAAAATAGAGTTTGCATAAACATTTTTAGGGTTTTATAAAGACTGTATAGAAATCCGCTTTGGGCTTAGGTGTCCTTGCGGATAGCAGTTAGCATGATCCAGACTTGTATGAAATGAAGATGCCAAGGTAAGATACTAACTGCCGATAAGATCTCACTTCCCTTTATGTCTGCTCATCAAAACAGCATTAAAAGCACGTTGCAAATAACAGTTAAAACTGCAAAAATCTCTACATATTTTGGCATAAATGTTGCTTTTCTGTTCAAATATAAGATGCTCATGTTTAAAATATAAGTGCAAAGCAAAGTTAAACCTTGGTTTCTAATCGTGCAAACCTCTCACCAACCCATGCCTGCTAATGACTGTGGTTTTGTTCGTCTTGCTCACGTATTGCATCTCAGAAATGTTGCCTTATATAATAACATAACTCAGTGTTGATTGTTCGGTCTTCTATTTCGAATAAATCCCTTTTTTCGTGTAACTTTTCAAGACTCAAATTGCGTTCTGTCGCATTTAAAACTAAGAAACTATTAAACCAAAGCCTAACCTGCCACATTGTTGCATTTATTCTTCTAATCCGTAACAGAGCGCCATGTTTACCCACGCCGTCTGCAGTGTATCAACATGTATCAACAACACACCTGACCGCCTGTATCGCCATGTCCTCAGGCCGTCTGGACTCTTACTGGGAGATTGAAATGACAAAACCAGATGAAACCAGTTAGTCTGGTTAGTAGCTCCGCATCCTTAACACTGCCACCGAGATTTGTTCGTAATACTGAATGACAGCAGAATATTATCTAAACATACACTATATTTTTTTTTATATAAAAATACATCTAAAAAATGTTTTTGTTTTTTGTTTTTTTGGTTGGAAGAGGATGTGAAATAAAAACACCGCAACTGATTACAGTTAAAAAACAAAAAGAAAAACAAAAGATAAAAATCAGCACTGATAGAAGGCTAGAAGTGTAAAAAAAAGACATAAAGCATCAACATGCATGGGTTGTTTTGGCTGACAGCTCCACTTTTGACTCCACATCACACAGAATTGTATTTTGGCCACAAAACTCGACTGCATGCTGGGACATGTAGGCGCTCTCTCAGGCTCACTCCTGCCTGGAAACTTCGGCTAAATTTCACAGGACGAATAGAGAAACGTCGTGAAGCCGTTTAAAAAAGCTGCAGAGTGAGCTCGATTCGTTGACTTAAATGTGCATGAGAGGTTTAAGAGATTGCAGAACCTTTGATCTTCATGGCTTGAACGTCGGGCGAGGGCTGTGATTGTCAAGGCGAGCGTTCGACACCTGCATAGTGTTGCCAAGGCACGGCGGTGGTGTGTTCACATCAGTTTACATGAAGAAGAAGAAGAAGATGATGATCGTAGCTCCGGTTCGTCGCGGCGGAGGAACGGTGGACGTAGATCAGGCGTTCTAATTTAATTCCACTTTTTGTTTTTGGCTTGTAGCCCAGAAGACGTCCATCTATTTATTTACAAACAGTCCTGCTTGTCTTTTTTTTTTTTACCTCCAGTCTTTGCATGGCTTCAAAATGTGGCTGAAACAAAAACATAAAGACAGAAGGATCCCTTTTGTTACCTTTGAGCAAAAAACAAACTCCGTCCAGCTATTTGTTCTGTCTCCTTCATCCAGAATCCTCCTCGCCTGCATGTCAGTCTCAGGAAGTATACGAGCTTTCTCGTCGCCGGTTTGCTAACCGTTAGCAGATGCACCGCCCTCGTCCGCCGCCGTCACACCACGAACTCGGGCACCTCGTCGTTGGTCAAGTCCAGGGAGAAGTACTTGTTCGTCCGCTTGATGGGGAAAGGCTGCGGCTCGCCGAGCGTGCCGGCGCGCTGCTCCGACAGGCCCTGGTGTCCCTCGCCGTCGTTCAGCTCCTGGGCGCAGCCGAACGTGTAGCTGTGGGCGGTGTCCTGGCAGAGCTCCGCCCACTGCTGGCAGTCCTTCTGGTAGAGCCGGATGTCGTCCAGCGATTGGCTGTGGCGGTCCGTGGAGGACTGAGGCTTCCGGCTCGTAGTCGTCTGTGAATGTGAAAAGGAACAATGTGGCCGTTACTTTTACTAAGTGCTGCTGTTTGATTTCCTTGGTGACCAAATGAGGTCGAAACCTGTTTTGGGGTGCCTGTAGCTTACAGCTTGGAAAAATAGCAACGTTTGTTGCATTTTCAGCGGTTCTTTTTCGCGCTGCGCTGAGCCAAACAATCTGAACTAGTTGAAAAACATCTGCCCCTGCTGTCAGATCAGTCAGATCTTCAGACTAAATCATCCTTGTGGTGCTGTTGCATGTTTGTGCTAAATTATGCGGCTTTCAAAGGGAGGGGGAGAAAAAAGAGCCACACTGGCTGAACGTTTACCTCTGGAAGGGTGGAACCGACTGTGTCAAATTAGGCTGGACCGTATAACTGGGCTGAAAATAACTTCAAAACACTTTGGAGGTTTGTCGTCGTATTCCACCCTGCAGTTGCTTTGTCTCAGTGGCATTGCTGCGTGTTGACGAAATGAGTCGGGGGTTACCTGAGGCAGCGACTCGATGCTCTGTCCTCTCATCTTGACGACGGTCTCCGAGGAGCTGGAAGTGGAGGAGCTGATGTCTTTTACTATCAGGCCTGAAAAGAAGCCAAAACACAAACGTTTTAGAGCAAATCGCAGAAACGTGGACGCTGCGTGTCGCGCCCCTGGACGTCTGTACCTGAATATCCGTTGGTCTGGTCTGGTGACATCGTCAGCATGTCCTCGGTGATGTGGATGCACAGCTCCTGGTCCAGAGCCATCTCGTGAAGCTCCTCATAGTCTTTGGGGTCGTCAACCAGCATCTCAATCTCTGCTGGGGACAAAAACAATATCAGAGTAAAGCAAATACAAAACTTAAAAAAAATACAAAGGTCATTAAGGTCAGATTTATCATCAGGGCACTCAGCATAAGCCTGAGTGTCGTCTGCATAGCTGAGCACGATCATGTTTCCAGAAGGAAGGACACAAAGTTTAAAAAGCGCTGGACCTTAAAGTCAAGCCCTGTGAAACAAACACATTTCACTGCTCGTCTCTGTGAGCTAGACTACAAACACGTCAGACAAATACAGAACAAACGGGGACACAAATCATCCGCTCTTACCGTCGTCGTCCAGGATGCGCTCTTTGCCGCTGCTCTCGATGCCGGAGGTGTGGGAGCTGCCATGGCTGGTGGTGGATGAGCTGCAGGTGCGCAGGGGCCGGTGAGGGGCCTGACCCGGGGCCCGGAAGCTGTCCGTCTCGATGCCGGACGTGTGCGAGCTGCCGTGGCTGGTGGTGGAGTGGCGGGAGAGGCGCTTGTGGTGGGACACGCTGCCGGCGCTGCTGCCGCTGGCGCGGGAACGCTTGTCCAGCTGCTCCATGTCCAGCTCCAGGGCGTCGCTGATGTACGACTCCCGGTACTGCTTCTTCTCTGGAGACACGACGACATGAGAAATGTTAATATTTAACAGGTTGATAATTCACAATCTTAAAATTATTTCTTTCTTTTTTTTTTTTGCAGAAAATTGAAGAAGCACTGTAAGAAGATGCAGTGCTAAGTCAAAAAAAACCCCTAATGGACCGGACCGCACAGCGCGGTTCAAGGGGCGTGAACACTTCAGCGGAGCATCGTGTGTAAACGAACACCGAACTCACCTTCGTTTTCCTCCAGCCGACGGACCTGCTTGAGGACGGGCTGCAGGTTCATGTAGAGCCGGTGGCTGTTGCTGAGCAGCTGCAGCAGGTGGCGGGAGCGCAGCGGGCAGCCCGTGTAGTAGATGAGCTTCCGGGCCGAGGGCAGACCGTCGGGGAGGATCTCAAACTTTTTCCCCTGAAGGAGCAAAAGAGAGGGGAAATGAAACATTTTAAAAGTGCCAGAGAGGCTGCAGGGTTTAACAGCCAGCAGGAGTTGGTTCATGATTCTGTGCTTTATTTTCTCACGCAGAATTTTGATGATTTTCCAGAGAGAGGAAAAATGAAATCGGTTTGTTTTCCTCCCCCAGATTTTGTCTTTAAATGAGTCTAAAAACATGTTTGTGTGTCTGTTTCTTCCACACACCTGAATACTTTTCTTCTTATTTGAACTAAGTTCTGACTGCAGGGCTGAGCTAAGCTTTGTTTATTTCAATTTTGATTTTTTTAATGTGTAAAATATAAGCCATCTTTTATTTCAATTACACAGAGCTGTTAGGAATAGTAAATATTCAATACGTTGAAACAATCCAAACAAACTGTCTTATTGTAAATCACCTTCCTGCTCAAATTCAATGCTAAAAACACAAAATATGAAGAAAGTTACAAAAAAAAAAATCTCTAAAAACTGTTCTCACTAAGTTTTCTGGTATTTAGCAAATTGAAATAATTGAAATAATTTTGGTAATTCTAAGAGAAGTGTATTCTGATTTAACTTCAGGCAGTGTGTGTTTGTGTGAAAATATCTGAATCCAACTCTAAATTATATTTTCCAAGTTTAGGCATTTAGTAAAACATTAGATTGCACTTTATTACATAATGGTGCAGTTTGAAAATCAAGCACTTTCCAAACCTAGAAAACACCTAATTGAAATTCAGGCATGTTTAAAAGAAATAGACATTAAGAGTTTTTTTTGGAAACATGATGAAGGTTGAAATAACATCTTCCTAGATATTCCAGCAGCATCACAAGCCTTTTCTGCCTCTCTTTGTGAAACATCAGGATCAAATTAAGGCAAGATGCAAAATAAAAAGAATCTGCCAGTCTGAAACACGCCCCGCCTTCCTGGAATGTTTTATACCAAAGATAATCTCAAGTCCAGAGCCCCAAATCCTTCCTAACATCTGGTGTTTATTGAACTCCCCGTCCGTCTCTCCGCGCCCCGCTCGCTCTCAGACTCGCCCGCCGGTGGATGACGCAACCTATGGGTTGGGTGAAAGCTGGAAGCCTTTTGCTATTCTGAAGAAGGGCAGGAGAAACCGTCCGGGTTCAGGCCACCCAACCGGAGCCACGCCACGGCTCGCTGTCACGACGCTCCGCGTGGGAAAACCACCCCCAAAGAAGAAGAAGAAAAAAAAAAAAAAAATCGAGGGAAAACAGGACGTCTAACACAGCAAACCCCAAAACAAAGTGGTGGATCCAGACGTTTAAATTATATTTAAAAAAATCCA